AGAGAGAGAGAGAGAGAGAGAGAGAGAGAGAGAGAGAGAGAGAGAGAGAGAGAGAGAGAAGAGAGGGAGAGAGGGAGAGAGAATTACTAAAAAATTCTGTCCGTAAAAAATAAATTTTTTTTAGGATGAGATCAGTTTGAAAGAATGGGCATTGTCACTGAGATCCGCGCATAAATGTTCAATGGAAATGCTGGGCAGTATGGCAAAGAAAGCCGGTAAGATTTATGGGACTGAAAGAGACGCAGTAATTCCGGCAATGCAGCGCTCGACGAATGGCAACTAGCCCTTTGCTAATATTTGTACATCGTCATCATACTCCAGTCCCACTGCCCCCCAGCAGCAGCAGCAGCAGCAGCAACAGCAACAACAACAACAACAACTTTTTTTATACTGAGAATCAACGCAAGCAGAAGAAATTCCAACGATTGAACGATCGAATAATTGGGAGGCGGTTTTTTTCTCCAGTCAGCATCCCGGAACCAGAAATATTCAAGTCTCGAAACAGCTCCAAAGAAAAAACTCCCTTTGAACGGCGGGTAGTGTCACGCTGTAATAGAGACTTTAGGAAGTAGAGTCGTACGAAACGTTACGTCATTATATTTGTACGTTAGCTGTATGTGCAATGTGACGTAGGAACTAGCGACTGAACAATGCCCATCGACATTCACGCGAGCACGCGCGCGCGCGACAGAGCACGCGTGTTCACGTAAAAATCCACACGAGACACACATGCATGCACGCACACACGTACATATATACACAAAAAAAAAAAACACGAAAATGCAACCGGTAGTGTATTATTGTAATATCAAATACGAAATACGCCCAAAATCCCGATTATACTTCTTCTACACACCCTTCTATACCGCTCGTTTACTTAATTTATTTACTAATGCAGAACGATTTTATATTGTCGTTTTCGTAAATGATACACGCGCGCGAATTCATTTATTTATTGCGTTTAAGGAATAAAAACAAAAAAGAGAAAAACTCGGACAGCTTGTACATTGTCGACAACCAATCGAAACTAGCTGTAATTAAAAAAAGAAAAAAAGAAAAAGAAAAAAAAAGACGAGGAAACTGTGTATGTCGAATGCTGGATACAGACGAGTTCGCCCCGGCAATAAAATTGTACGACGAACGTAGAACTCGTCTACATTTCTTCATTCTGCTCAGTCCCATGTCCAATGTAGGAAAGTAAGTAAATTTTAAATGGATCGAATTAGCTCGACATGGAATAAAAAAACATTTTTGTCTTTATTTTCTTTTTCTTTTCGAAATACTAGTACGTTATGACCTAATGTGTAATCTTTATATATTTCCAGCTAAAATTAATTATAATAAAAAATGGACTTGAAACATTTTTAACCATGACAAACAAATATATGAACAAAATTTCAAATCGTAACAATTGTTTCTCGAAATCTGGTATGTGAAAATTCTACATAAACAATGTAATAAATTTAAAAGTTAAGAAATCATAATACGGCCAATATCAACATTATAGTCCATTATGTATTTGTGTTTACTATGAAAATGTTGTATAAATTGTTTTATGTATTTTTAGATGTGGATAATTGAATTATACCAAGTTTTATTTATACAAAAACAATTTTAAAAGTATTTTAATACTTATTATTAATCTTATTTCAAAAATCCATTTAAAATTTAAATATTTGATATTAGTTATTAAATATTAAATATTATGATTTGAAAAATACTTTACAATGTTATTAAAGCAATATTTTCAAAAATTTTTGATTAATGATAATATTAAACATTATTACGATTTTTTACATAGTTTCTATAAAACTTTTCAAAGATAATTAAATGTTTTTTAATAATAATGATGATAATTACGAAAAGATATAAAAACTTAAAAATTTCATTTGTTTTTTTTTTAATTATACCTTCTTCATTGTGTAATTTTACAATTTCATATTTTCATATTTAATATAAGAACAAATCGATGTTCTTAATATTTATACATACACCGAAAAGAAGATGATTAAAAAATAATTTTGTCAAGTGATAATATCTTTACGATATATTAAAAGTAATAACAAATTTCTTATAAAAAAAAATTTAAATCAATATATATATATATAAAATATAATGTACGTGCAAATTAAGTAATTTTGTACAAAACTTCAAATAATATAAAAGACAAATTCTTTGTTTCCCATGAAAATTCAAAATTTACTTTTTATTTTCTAAAATTGATCAATAAAATGCAAGTATTTAAAAATTGTTTGCGATATCAAAATATGATTTAACATTTGTAGGTATTACAGTCAAAGGAACAACTTCAACCATGCCTTTATAGTAATAAAGTGTACCGACCACAGAAGAATAAAAATATCAACATTCACGAATAAAATGCGCGAAACAATTACATTTGCGAATAAGTATAGTTAATATAATATATATATATATAATATAAATGTATTTTAACACGCGTAAAAGAAAACGTATATTTTAAATGTTAAATTCGTACACAACTTGAAATAATATACAAATTGAATACGCGTAGTTTTAATCGCAAACAAAATATATAACTCATCTATGCTCCGACATATCTAAATGGTATAACGGTCGAAGCGAAACTGACTCGTAAATTCCCCTTCCCGATGCAGGTAACTCGACGGACAAGATCATTGATAACGACATTTGTGGATTCCAAATAAATATAGAATGCTATAAAATTCTTTTTTAACTTTGCGGAGCCGAATTTTTATTTGTTTAAATTCATTATTTTTAAAATTATTTCTAAAATTAATGTAATATTTATATTTTTTACATTAAAGATGAAGATAGATATATTTCTTTTGAAGAAAAATTTTAAATAATGAGATTATATTCACTTGTTGTACATGTGGTTACGCGTATAGTATGAACAAAGAAAACCAATAATAAAAGGAAGATAGAGATAGAAAATATTGATATCAGCGCCATCTCCAGAGTGTTGCAAATTAAACACATAAAAAAAGGATAAAAAGTAATAGAAAAAGGATAGAGATAGGAAAAGAATTGGCCGCTAGCGCCATCTCTTGAATCTCAAAGACACTTCTTCAAAGAATCATCTTTAAAACTACATAAGAGATGGCGTCAATTCTTACTTTATCTTGCTTTTAAAAGGCAAGCATCTCTTTGATACTCGAAAGATGACACTATTCTTCTGAATTCTTACTCTGTCTTTATCATATTTCTACTATTTTTTATCCTTTCTTTTTGTGTTTAATTTGCGGCAGTCTAAAGATGGCGTTGATTTCACAATTTTTTGTTTATTTTTGTCCTCTTCTTGTCTTATTATTTGTTCTATTTGTTCTGTAAAATTTATACACAGAAGAGGCAGTTCTAATTTGTTTTCTTAATTGAAAAATCTTAAAAATCTTAAATTGTGTTTTATATAGATACATATTAACATTTATAATGTTTATAATAATATGTATAAATAAATTTAGCATTAATTAATAGCATTATATTTAAATTTAAATTAAAAAAAAAAATCTTTCAAATTCATAATATTTTCATTACATTATAATAAAAAATATAAACATAATTTTTAATTCACAAATTCATGAATCATTCATAGATAAGTCTTTTTGATATAACAATTGAAAATTTTCTATTTAATTTGTTAATTTAATTTATTTTATAATAAAATATTATAATAAAATAATTTTTAATAAAATAATTAGCAATTTGTAGATTTTTACTTAATTTCGTCTCTAACGATTGACAAAGATCTATAATTTTTAATAGATAATTAGATTAAATTAGATTAGATTAGATTAAAATAGAACGAGAATGATCAAATAAATTTAATTGTCAGAACTATTTAAGATTACAGCGATGAATAATTATGCAAACAAGTAATATTCAAGATTTCTCCGCAATGAAGAACATTAATAATAAACTGACTGTCTTTTATTTTACACAAAATTATACCCTACCATCAATATACCGCTGGAGGCGTGACACGACAAGATCAAAATTACCAGTTACGCACTTACACGCTTTGAAGAACATATTCAAACGTACAGATGAACAAAAAATGATATTGATATTAAATACTTAATATATGATACTTGCAATCATGTATTTTTGAAAATATAATTAATTTCTCTTTCTTCTCTTAATAAATATACTTTTTATATTCTATCTTCTTAAATGATTTTTTTTTTAGAGAAAGATGGATATATAGTAAATAGAAAAAGTTAAAATAGCACGTTGGTTTACTTTTTAAAAAAATTTATCTCGTGTCAAATAAAATAAGCAATGATAAAAATTGAAACAGTGTTATCGCAATAACGCAATCTTGAAAGCAACAAAGATAAAACAAGTATTGAATAAGAAATTCACTTTAAAACAACTGTCAACGAATTACTTTCTGTTTACACAAAATATTAATTTAAGATTTAGTCAGAATCTTAAGACGCTTAAATTAAGATATCTAGCTAGCTGATTACATTTTAATGATTCAATTTCGTCGAAACAACCGTGCTATTACTTCACGACTAGTGGATAATTAGATATAGTAGTTAAAATGGAATACATCTATGTAAATAATTGCGATTTTTTATTTATCCACAATAGTTTAAAATACATCGTCGAACGATTTCGATTATTATTTACGAATTATTACGATGAAATTTTTTATTGAAATAAAATATCAATTTTTAAAACATAAAAAAGTAGAAAGTAGAAAAAGAAGAAAAAAATTCAACGTTAGAAATCGATGTTTACGATTAAATTTTGCATGAGAGAAGTTATGCGTTTACAGGAATATCCTACTATAATACAATGTCCCCGCCGATTGATCAGGGACACCCGATATATAAAAGCAGACCAGTCGGTTAGCGAAGCACAGTGTAGTCCGATGGGATAGGTATAACAACACAACATAACCGAATCTCTGGTTTAGTGGCGTGTAAGATCTCGACTCGACGGTAGAGAACGTGTCGGATTAAAACAACACGGCGACGTCGCAATGCTGAATTAACCGCATCCTAAAACACAAATTTAATTTTTCCTTTTTGCGATCGTTGGACAATTAACAATCGATTTCACCAGTTTTTACGTGCCTGTGATGCGAAAATTCGGTTCGACCAAATTTTTAATCTAACGACAGCAAAGGTGAGTGGTGCATCTTTGAATCTTACTGACTCGAAATGCGTGGAAATTTAAACTTTTTCCCTCGCTCGAAGAGAAATCGAAATCTTCGATGTTTGTAATACATTAACGTCAAACCGTTAAAATTAACCGTGAGAGAAAACAATTTAATAAGGTTAAGCACCTATACGTACCTGTTAGCTTCGAATAAAGGAACAAACTGTTTGGTATGTAACGATGTCACTATTCTTTCACAAGCACGTGCTTCTTTTGTTCTGGATCCAATAAGTCAATAAGTTACAAATTTTTGTGCAAAGTTCAACAGAGAATCGTAATTGTTTCTTCGCGACATTTTTCCGTTTTATTCCGGATATAAAATACGAATTGAAAAATTTGAAAAATTATTCTTCTAATTATCTATTAATGAAAAACTATTATGAAGTAAAATGATTAATCGCAATAGAAGCAAAAAAAAAAAAAATATTCTCGCCAAGAATTTTATTTTTCTTTTGCAATCGAAAATTAATCTTTTCTTTTGTAAATATATAATTGTTTTTTTTTCGTTAAAACTTATTTTAATATATTATTTGAAATGATATTTTGTTTGTTTGCGAGATATATCTATATACGGTATATGAATATGACAATCCTTATCGAGTTATGGAATAGAAATTAGCGACTCGACGATAGAGAATCCATAGGTATTTGCAAAGCATGAGTATATTCCGTGGCATTATTCTGATATGGTGCGAAAATATCATTCCCATCCCCCATAACAGATAACAGTAATCGTTAAATTCTCGTAATGTCTATTCGAAGAATTAGGGACAGCACCGATGCTGTATATGTGCGACACGAGGAAACGATTTGATGCTTTGGGAAGGGAAGTCTGCTCTCGTAGGAGGGCACCGTGCCAGGAAGCCGATATTGCTATGAACGAGACCCTACGGTACACAC